CATATCTAGCTAATAGAGGTGGATCTGGAATTCAACCGAGATCGGATATGACGTCCTTGGAAAAAGAAGAATATCTTGCGGATTTTAGTAAAAGATTCCCGAGTTTGAGTAGTATTGAAATGGTGGAGAGAGAAATTGAGAGGGAGGGGGAACAAAGTACAGGGTTGGGAATAGGGATGGGGAGGAGAGATGATAGACCTAGGGTTACTAAGGAATTGTGAATTTTTAGTTGTAGATTTGGAAGGTGGGGAAAACAGGGTGGATGGGATTGGAGGGTAGGGGGGGTGTAAGTTATAGAGTGTTGTGATGTGATGAGATGTGATGTGGTAGTCGGAATCATGGTATTTTATGTTATGTTAGCGGCACATGCATGTAAATGAGTGGAAATATACAGATAGTGGTTGTAGTAGTAGCAGTAGTAGTAGTGGCATCTGGATTCTGAAATAAAAGGAAAGGGGTATTATGAAAAGAAGGAAAGATAGAGGAATGGATAGAGGAATGAATTAGAGAATTTATATATTTTTGTATATTTATTCCTAGGTACCTAGGTATTGATAGGTGGTTGATTGTTTGGAGTGTATTATTGATCTATCTGTGTACCTAGGTAGGTATGTGTATTGAATTAATAGGGGGTGAATAAATAAATGTATAGCTTCCTCTCTTCTGTCTTGTGGTTGTTATTGTTATTGTGTGTTATTGTGTGTTATTGTGTTGTATATATATAGGGAAGTGGTATGTATGTATATATGTATGTATTACCTAGTAGGCCTGGGGTAGGTAGGTAGGTAGGTAGGTCGGTAGATGGTTTCAGGTTTTATGGGATGGATGGATGGATGGATGGATGGGTGAATATATATCTATTTTTAAGTAAGAGTAACAGTAAGATTTTGGGATGTTTGTTGTTCTCATGAAAATGAAAGCTGGAGTGTGGTAATAGTAATAGTACCATCAGCAACTCCTCAAACCCAAGAAGAATTCCCGCTTGACAAATCAATTGTATTGTGTCATGTTAAATCATATTAAATCATATTCCTTCCCCATGCACACCATGTACTCCCTCCCCCATCCACACCATGCAAACTCCCTCCCCTCCATTCCTTCTTCCCAATATGTATAAACAATCACTGCTCCCAACTCCCAACCACAATCCACTCATCACCTGTCTGACATCCAAACGAAGGCGCAAGCGCAACTTCTCCAAAGACTCGCTCGGGCTCCTCATCTGTTTCCCACTCTGCGTCGATATCGAGGTGGATGTTGTCGGTTAGTTTTTCGGGGGAGTGGCTGGAAGTTGGGGGGGTGCCTGGAACCTTGTCATCTGTAGCTTGAGGTTGTTTGACACTCCCGTTTGCTACTGGGGCGCTGGATTGTAGATTTGGAGGTTTGGCGATGGAGATTTCGTCCTCTGGGGTGAGGTTAGGAGGTGAGTTCTTGAGCTGGGGGGATGCTTGGGCGAGGGTTTGTTCAGCTGCTGGGCTTGGGCTTGGGCTGCGAGGTTGGGGATGTGTGGGTTCGTCTTTTTGGATGGCTTGGGGTGCCATGCTAGATGGGAGACTTTCAAGATTGGTGGACGCAGCTGAAGGTTGAGGAATCTTCTTTTTCGCGTCGATTTCTCCGGGTCGTGGAATCTCGACCTTCTTAGCCATTGATTGGGGTTGTGTGCTTTCGTGCTCTTTTTCTGCACTGTCGTTCTGTTCGACGATAGGGCCTTCAACTGAAGAGGCAAGAGTCGCAGCCGGGATAACTTCGACGTTATCCATCTCAGATTGGAGCTTCGATTCCTGCTTTACTTCACCTTTGCTCTGTGTCTCATTCTTTCCTTCCTCTATGCACAATACCCCACGAATCCCCTCTCTCCTCAATCTCTCATTTCTCTCCCTCGCTCTCACCAACTCCAAAACTCTCCTACTCGCCGGAAAACTACTCGTCACCTTTTCAAAATGATCGATTTCTTCCTGTCCCAATCCTAACTCCTGCATGCGTCTGTGAATCTCAGGATGCGTAGCTGCTTCTTCATGACGACGTCTGCGCGCGGAAGTTTTGCATTCCATGCAGCCGCGTTCGAGAACGTAGCGAGATACTTGCACGAGTTCGTCTTCGTGGTTGGGATAGTTTTCACAATCGGTTTGAGAGGTGTAGGGGAGGAGGGCTTGGGGACAGGGGGTCCGATGGAAGATGTGGGGAGTGTTTAGGGAGGGGTGGTGCGGACAGTTGTATTCTGGGTTTGGTTAGTGAGGGGTGGTAGGAAAGGGGAAAGATGGCTAGGGTTAAAATGAGGAGATGGGTGAGGAGATGAGTGAGGAGATAAATTACCTTGAACCACGTATATACATCGCTCTGTATTCTGCGTCTGTTTGGGATTAGACGGTTTTGGAGCGATGATTTTGTGTTGACCACCCAGGGTTCGGGGAAATGTGAATTTGGCTGTTTGTGATGACATCATTATTTCTAGATGTTGAATTCAAAGACAGAATTCGTTGTTGAAAGGGACGTAAAATCTTGTGGATAGTACTCGAGAAATCTGTATTATGTCGATGTCGATGATGTGTTGAGAATGTGTTGTAGAGATCTGAATGTATGATGTAAAGTTTACTTGTAATGTTATTGCAAAGAAGCTGTGTTCATTTTATGTTTATATGCAGCATGTCTCTGTTCTAGAAGCCGTAGCTTGAGATGACTTGGGAATGTCGTACTGATACTGAATCATATGTACGGTATGCTTACAGAGTTATGGACGTATTGATAGCCGTACATTTCTTTTAAGATCCATTCATATCATACTGAGAAACTGGTAGATTCGCTAATGGGATTTTGTTATACGGTTTATTTATATGCTGAAGAAATATAGTATTAGTTGAAATCCCACTCTCCTGAAGAGGATATTGTGTGGACAGTCTATACAATTATGCAAAAGGAGTACATCTCAAAATTTGTAGAGGTCTAATTTGTTGCTGAATACATGTAATCAAGAACATCGTCTTATTTGATAATAACTACTGCATTCTATCGAAGTCATCTACAGTCAAATACTATATTGTGCTCAATATGCATACTCGCTAAAATCAACCATTGGTAATGTATTCCTCGGCACTAGGAGCGACATACTTGCGCCTTAGATGAAAGAAGATTATGCATAGTTGCTCAGTATGTCATGTACTATACACTCGTTCATCTTTTGGTCAGTCTGCTATTTATCTCTGTCTTTACCACACTACATTTACACATCCGCAAGTGACTTTATGAAAAATAGTCGAGGTGGAATGAATGGTGCCGACATGTCACTCTGCTGTTAAATCGAATCGGAAAAGGAAATGTCTGCATTTACATTTACGTCGACATCGTTTCGTGTATCTATATATCGCATTTAGAAAAACAACTCATGGATTATCATAAACCGAATATCAATGAAAATGAAACCTAGCAAAAAGATCTAGAATATACAATCTCATCCTACATATCCAATTCAAGTAAAATGATCTCTGAAATCACCAAGAACCCAAAAGACCTCATATGATACCCAATCCCAACTTCCATCCCCTGAAACCCATCTAATCTTCATTTATAACCTCTTAAACCTCCCCCATAAATCCTCCCAGCATTTCCTTCCCTTTTCCCTGCCACATCTCAAACTCGAATTGAAAATTCCACACGTATCCCCATAATATCCACCTCCCTCTTCAATAACAATAGAAACCCGTTTCCTCTCCCCAATCATTGGTCTTTTTTGCGTGGGAATTGCACGTTGATGTTCATATGTCATCATCTGTTTTCCTTTTCCATCGTTGCTGCCACGGCGATACATATCCGGGGAACTTTGAGTTTTCTTTAACGAAAAAGGAGGGGTTGATGGCATCTGTGCATTATTATCGCTTCCCAATTCCTTCCCCAGATCATTCGCCAATCCATTATCTGTATTCGGTATTAAATCCATCCCTGGCAAATCGTCTCTATCTCTCCTCTGCATCTCCACCTCCAACTCATTCCCCCTTTCTTCATTTTTTAACCGAATCTCTCCGCTCGAGCCCTTCTCCTTCATCAATTTCCCACCCCTCACACAAACCTCACATTTCTCACCCCCATTCCCCAAAATCTCATACCGATACCCCTGACTCGAACAACAGCCTCCGAATCTCGCAACACAATTCTCGGTATGAATAATATTCGTCGGATGAGTAAACGGTTGCACGAAATGGGAACAGGCGTGTGTTGTAAGGAGATATATACATTTTTTGCGATGAATCTGGATCTGAGTTTGAATGGGGAGATGTGATGTCGAGTGGGATTGAGATGGGAGTAGGGGATGTGGAGATAAGGATGAGGAACGAGGTTTGAATGGTGGTGGAGATGGAATGGACATTTTGTTTGGGATGGCGATGGCTTGTTTGTCTGTTTGTTTGGATATTGTGAAGTGTGTCGATGGGAGATTTGGTATACACGAATAAAGGCGTAGTTCGGTTTTAAAATGCTAATTGCATGGAAGATTACGTTGCATTTCTATAGGAGATGTGAAGACATAGTAGAAGATAGAAGGAAGAAAAGTGTGATTAATATCTCTAAGCTTGTGAATAGGTCTGAGAGGATGATTTCTGCAGACCCGTGAATGGATTTGGGATGGAAAGTTTCCTCCATTTCTGTAACTTTTTGGAATACATGTTACAAGTTATCGAATGATCAGATTTTTGACTTCTGAATCAACAAAAAAGGATTGTTTGATTTGTCATTCATAAATAAATTTTATGAGATTTGTGAATGGTAAAAGTTGCGATGATATTGCAAGACGTGAAGTAGTCCAGATGTTAACGACGACTTGCTTGTATAAGTGAATAAAGTATTAAACAAAAATTCAAACCAGATAGCTTTAATAAGATATATAGATCCCGATTTCTTTGAGAATAATCACACAATATCCCAGCTTTCCTCTCCACCATCCCTTCTACAACCTACTCCAGAATCCGCAATACCCAACTAAACCCCATCAAACTCCCCCTCCAGCCCATTTCTCAATCTGAATTCTGCATACGACCCAAATGCGTACTGGCCAAATGATCCATCAACTGAAACTCATTTACTCTTCCCCTCCCCCCATCATTACCCAGCACCCCCTCCCCCACCTCTCCAAACCCCCCATCCCCTGGCCTCCTAAAATCAAAACAAAACATCATCCTCGCCATCATAATCCCCGTCTCCATATACGCCATCCTCTTCCCCAGACATCCCCTCGGCCCCAAACTAAACAGTGCAAATGCCATTTTCATCTCTTCAATTTTTTCCTGTAGGTTATCTTCCGATACCATCCAGCGCTCAGGTTGAAATTCAAACGAATTGGGAAAATAGTCTTCATTATGCTGCACAGCATAGACTGCACATCCGATATCGTAGCCTGCAGGGATAAATTCTCTATCGATGGTGATACCTCCAGGACGAACTTCCCTTCAGAGTGCAGAGCCGAGTGGTGAACTCATACGGAGCGCTTCTTCAATACAAGCGCGTAGATATTTGAGAGAGGTGATTTTCGGACCGCTGTGAATTTCAGAGGGGGAGGAGAAGGTAGATCGAATTTCTGTGGTAACTTTTTCATAACATTTTGGGTATCGAGAGAGGTAGAAGAGCAGCGCGGAGAGAGTTGTCGAGGATGTATCAGAGCCTCTCTGTGTGAGTAGATAAACTATCTGGCTATTCTAGAAATGTAAAAATATACCTACCAGCTGCAAGTAAAAATCCACTCTCAGTAAATAATTCCGAAACTGTCATCGTTTCAATATCTTCATGCTTACCGTTATTCGAATACTGTGCATCGAAAATGAAAGAAAATAAATCGCTCTTTGCATTCTTATCTTCCTTCAATCTATCTGCAACCAATTTACTCACCGTAGAGTGATATTTCACAACCACCGTATGGACTTTCCGGTTGAAAAATCTTTCGATTCTGATTTTTGAAAAGCTTGAAATTGGAGTAAAACTCCCCCTCTTGTTAATATTCCAGCAATCGTCCCAGAAAGAAAATGGTTCTCAGAAGATGTTTGTAGGTTGAATGATTGTCCAAACCCAAATTCTTCCACAACGTCTAGGATATGTGCTTGAAGCTAATACCCATATTGATAGGTATCGACCATTTATCTTGACTTTTGCGTTTGATAGGTGCGCTCGCTAGATTTTGTATTAAGAGATAATTGTGCTAATCCTTGTTGGCTCAAAAGCTAGCAGAGATGGAATAGAGAAGCCTTTTGAAATAACCCTTCTCTTGTGTTTATGGACTGAGAAATTCACTGCATTGTGGACACTATGTACACCTGGTGTGGTGACTAGAGTAGCGTATCGTTTCGATTTTTGAACATTTTTTGATGCATAAATTTCTGAATATCATGAATTAGAAAACAATCATTCATGACCTGAACGGGAAGTACCTTGAAGAGCTTCGGCTGAATTGAAAACCAGTTTATTAGGGCCCAAGCGAACTACACTTCCTGAAAAGATCTCTGCAGCTGCTAAGGTTGATTTAACCGATCTTCTCACCATGTTTATCATGAGCTTCCAATGTTCTAATATGAAGACTTCCTCTCAAACTATGATAAGCAGAATACAAATCTGTAATCTTTGCCCATCTCGGACCGGGATACTTTGCCAATGGATGGAAAGTGATACGATAAATCCCAGTGAGAAAGAGCTATGAAAATCGTTAGCTATTTAGAAACAGGAACTGTTTGGGTAATAATAACCTTGAGAAAGAATGTAGAGAGGATAACTGGTAAAATTACAAGATAGGAAGAGATGTCTGCAAAGGACTCGAATTTTGACATTTCTTCGCTAAACCTTATACGCAATCCCATGATTGTAATTCTAGAAGTTGCTGAAGTTGTTACAGAGATCTGGTCACTATAATCATCTCATAGAGGTAATTTTGCCATGTGAACGATTGTCATCCAACATTTGGAATTAAATACTGGACACATAGCAGAAAGCTTTTAGTATCGAAGAGTAAGTCCATCAGCAGATTAGCAGGACTAGTCCAATGAAGTATCTTATTGTATGTTGTCTACCCCATAAAAGTTTTCTGGGTAAGAGCTCATATTTTCTAGAAGCAAAAAAGAAAAAGCCAACAGTTGGTGATGATACAAACCGATACTTCCTATGAAATACTAATATTCATTGGCACAACTAGTGAGCATATCATCTCAGTATGATAATATAATATCAGAAACTCGTAATTTCAGCCCAAAAAGGGAAAAAATTTCAAGCCGTCACCTAAGTCGTACGTCATATATCCATCAAACGACTTACATTCAACAACATTTCTTCAAAGCATTTTATCCCTCCCCCATATTCATGACCAATACTGTATGGCTTGCAGTAACAACAGACGGCCAACTTCCGCCTATCATTCCCATATCCAACTAAAAAGGTGACACGGCATACAAGATCAGAAAATTCACCACGAGTCCCAACTCGGTTGTACGCACTCCATAACCGATCATCAAAATGTACCTAATGTAAAACAACGTAGAATCATCCAAACTCATTATATACAACATCAAATCGACCCTGTTAATCCTCACCCACTACAAATGGTGAATCCCATTTTCACACCCCATTAATCATTCATTACCCATTATTATTTCCCGTAGCCACACCCCAGAAATACGCACACCACGAACCCAAGACCAACACTACCAAAGCCCCAATACAACACTTTGAAATCTTACGATTTCTGAGTCCATTCTCATTATGGAATTTTTCCTTGCGCTCATTAATCAAGTCACCATTAGCGATTCTCTGTTTGCGCGTCCATTGCAACATGCGGAAATCAACGCAATAATATGCGAGTCCAATCATGATGAGTGCCATGAATGCCGATGCTGCGGAAAGAGCAACATAGAGAATCGTGACGTTGTCGTAGGAATTATCATCTGCGTCTTGGATTACTCCGGCGACGATACCGACGATGATGCTCATGCTGTTTTTTTGGTTAATAAAGAATGGTGATTGAGAGAAAGGGAACTTACGCGTTGTTCATGGTGACTTTGAGAGCGTATGCGGATCCGAAAACTCCTTGATGCCACATTGATGTTCTGATACTATCGATGATCAAAGTTGGACCGAAACAGTATGCAAAAGCGTAAATGCCGAATGCAGCATCTGTACCCTTGATTGAAGGAGCCCAGTTTACAATGGACATTGATATTAGACAAGCAAAACCAGTGACGGCAACTGAAAAGTGTTAGCAGAAGACTTATACGAAGAGAGAATTAGTTTACTTACAGAGAGTAACTCTGTTTCCCCATACATCAACAAATATTCCAATTAGAGGAACAAAGAAAAATCCTGAAAATGTCAGTCTTATTTTACTAGATTTTTCAATGTTACAGGATACTTACCACCATATTGAATAGCTGATGTGTACCATCCGGCTTGTATAGATGATACACCCAATCTTTGCTCAGCCATTTCTGTAGCATTACTAGTAAAGAGACCAGCAGTCGAAGTTTCAAACAATGAAAATGCCAAAATGACCCAGAATGTCCAAGGTAATTCAAGAACTTTGCGTAATTCAAATCTCTTGTTACCTTCTGTAAGTTTCTCGCCAGTAGCTGGATCAGATGTAGAAGGAAACTTTTTATTGGCGAAGCGTGTAAAGATGTAGAAGCCGAGAGTCATCAAATTACAGAAAACATTCATGGCTACGGAAACCCAATAGACATTTGCAAAGTTTCCTGTGTTCTTTGAGATGATGTTTGCAGATGATTTACCAACAAATGCACCGATTTTGCCGATTCCCAACTCAAGCGCAAGTGTCGAAGCGAATCCATGATTGGGAGCGAACCATGAAGAGAAAACTTTGTATTGTGCAACTTGAGTAGCAATATCTCCAAAAGCTTGAACAATTGTACCGCCAATCATGAATTGATAGTTTCTGGTCTGAGCAGCTCCGGCAATGAGAATAGATCCAATTGTGAAGATGATGTTGCCATAGAAGATTGCGCCTAGAGATAGTGAGTAAACGGAGAAGAATCGAAGATTTATAAATCTTACCTGCTCCTCCTATTCTATCCGTAACAAGACCACTAACCATCATTAAAGCTGTTACCATAAAATCTTGACTGGCACTCAATAAAGCATATTGCTTATTATCAATCTTCATCTCCTTCTTGATTGTTGATTTCATTGCACCTGTAATTCCTGAACTCCAATGCGAACCAAAACCAATCATCGACACTAGGATGACTGAAGCCAGCTTCCATTGCCAAGGTATATCATTCCCATTGGATTGTCCATCATTATTGGCGATATCCGATCGATGTTCCTCATTATCGCTTGAAGAAACCGCTGACACAAAGGCTTCATCTTTCTCCTTAGTATCGTGTTCCACTGATGGCGTACCCGATGTCGAATAGACGGTCTCAACTATCTGATTATTAGACATAGCCGAAGTTTATCCTCGAAATTCGAGGTAAGGCTGAAAAGATAGGGAATGAGTAGTTCGTGAAGTAGATCAATGTAAAATCGAAAAACATCCTCATTTTTGAGTATATCTGGTCTTCTTTATAGGGTTTCAATACAACTGTTCTTGATATTCTATGACCAACGTGAATACGACTTCGGCCCACTAAACGTTGATGATCTGATACGAATTATCGTTGGGAAAATTGCAAGTTGGGAAGAATTCCCGCAATGTCTGCTTGGCACATCAGAATTTTTATCAGATGGTTCGGAATCGTTCGAACAACAAGGATCTATATCTGATAAGAAGTCTTAGCCCGAGAATGGAGCATTATTTGAACATATTTCCCCGATAACGTGGTTTCCCCACTTGGAGCGGTGTTCAATGAAATCACCGAAAGAGAAATAATCTCGGTACCGAACAAGTTGAAATAGAATATGAGAATCGTTCAAGTACGGAGTACGTAGCTGAGCGGCGGCTCGCAGATTGAATTTTTGAATACTTAGCTAGTCAAGTCTCTGGAACGGTTTGTGAAATTCTCGATATTGTGTAGAGTCCCTCTTTCCATAAGCTAGTACCCTGTCTCGAACCTGCCAACTCAGCTGAAATCTAGCTATGACCTTGCAAGCGACAAGAAATCAAAGAAAGTGATAGCAAGAAATATCACGTGGAAAACACATGATGAGAACCACAGATTGTATTGCTCAAAAAGTAATGGGAGCACCAGAACAACCACATTTCATGTCATTTAACCATAAAAGGTTGCATAAATTGCCACCCGCAGGTCTTGGAAGTATCTCAATAAACTTTGAAGTATCCCGGTTGCAGCCGCACAAACACACCATCTGGATCATATTTCTTTGAGATCTCGACCAATCTATCATGATTCTCTTTCCCGTAGCTCGGAAATACATCTTGTTGAAACGCAGCGTAATTTTGGTACAAAAATCTATGCCAAAGGTTTCGCTCCTTGGCCAAAGTAGTGGATCGTGCAATACAATTCTCTGCAAACGCTATAATTCGTTTATCATCTGTGATGTCGGTCCATTGAATGGCAATATTGATTACTAGAGTTGTCAGACGACGGTGAGATTAGACATGGTACTGTACGGAAACTTCCGAATTATTTACTCACGAATCAAAGGACCATCTTCTTTGGTTATACCTAGAGCATTCCCACCATTCTTGCTAAAGTGCGAGATCATTGGTTCGGAGATCGGTTGAAAGACCAGCGCAGGCAATAAATTTGTAGCATTTCTGATGTTTTGAAGTCCCTGATCAAATATCTTGGATATTTCATTTATTAAACTGGCATCATTCAATATGGTCAATGTCCAATATGATTCCCTAAGTCCAGAAGGTTGCGATTCTTCTGTTTCATTGATCAAAGATGTAAGGGTCGCAATTCTCAAGTCAGCAGATAAAGCAGGTATCTCAGTAAAATTTTCGAAAATAGGAGGGTTGATGACTGGTTTCCCATAGTCCAATGTGAAACTGACGAGGGATGATTCTATCAGAGGTACGTAGACATATACCAGAAAAACTGCAGCAAATGGATCAGAAGCATGATTGATATTGAGGTTGACCAATGCCTCAATCGCATTGGATAGTTCTGTTGCATTTGAAGTTGTCGTTCCGCCCCACATATCACCCTGCTC